CGCTGCGCCCCTTTGAAATAAGCAGCAGCAGCAGGCGCTGCAGCAGCGGCAGCAGATCGGTGAGCAGCAGCTGCCGCTCTTCTGCAGCAGCAGGCTTTGTCTTTGTTGTTGTTGCTGCTGCTGCTGCTGCTGCTGCTGCTCTCTCCAGCAGCTGCTGCTGCTGCGCAGACACAGACAACAATCGGATTGCTGCTGCTGCTGCAGCACCCCAAGAGCCAGCAGCAACAGCACTTCTTATTACTGCCACTGCTGCTGCTTCAGCCTGCAGCACAGCAGCAGGAACTCTCATCTGCTGCTGCTGCTGCTGCTGCTGCTGCTGCTGCTGCGGCTGCTGGGGTTGCTGCTGCTGCTGGTGCTGGAGCATGCGAGCTGCAACAGAGAGGGATCGCTGCAGCAGCTGAGCTGCTGCTGCTGCTGCTGCTGCATCGTAAGCTACGTTTGCCTTTGCTGCTGCTGCTATAGCTTGTGTAGCAGCAAACGCAGCAGCAGCAGCAGCAGCAACCTCTGAGAGGCACAGGCCATTCAAAAATGCAGCAGCAGCAGAAGCAGCAGCAGCAGCATCTGTGGTGAGGTTCAGCAGCAAACCAAAGAGTTGGTTTAGCAGCAGCAGCCTGCGGTGTCCTGGAGCCATCAGCTGCAGCAGCAGCACCGGAACAGTAGCTGCTGCTGCTGCTGCACCTTGCTTCTTGCTGCTGCTGCTGGTGCTGCTGCTGCTGCTGCTGCTGCTGGATGTCAATGCATGCAGCAGCAACGCGAGCTGCTGTGCTGCTGAGTTGCTGCTGCATATTTCTTTTCTTATTTGTTGGCTCTTAGTTAAATTTATCAGCAGATCCAACTTGCTGCCGATTGCTGCTGCTGCTGCTGCTGCTGCTGCTGCTGGTGTTGCTGCAGCAGCAGCTGCTGCCTCCTCTGCTGTTGGCAGCAGCGCCTGCAGCAGCAACGGCTCTCCCCGCCGCTGCTGCTGCTGCTGCTGCTGCAGCTGCTGCTGCAGCTGCTGCTGCAGCGCCCGCCGCATCGGCGCTTCGAGGGCAAAGTTGCATAGACACCTCCGAGCTGCAGCTAGCAACTGCTGCTGCTGCTGCTGCTGCTGCTGCTGCTGTTGCTGCTGCTGCTGCTGCTGCAGGATATATTCTGCTTTGGAGCAGATGTGCTGCTGCAGCGCTAATGCACAGCCTTCTTCCTTGCTGCAGGCAGCAGCAACTTTTTCTTTTGCTGCTGCTGCTGCTGCTGCTGCTGCTGCTGCTTTTGCTGCTGTTGCTGCTGCTGCTGATGCTCCCCAATGCAGCAGCAACCCCCCTGTTGTTTCATCTGCTGCTGCTAGCCGCGCGAGTTCTTTTCTAGCTCTGGGGTGTATAGACAGCTCAGCAGCTACTGCAGCAGCAGCAGCAGCAAGCGATGGCTGCTGCAGCAGCAGCAGTAAACTCTGCAGCACTGGCAGCAGCAACGACTCATATAGTGCTGCTGGGGTGTCGCTGCTGCACAGCAGCAGCAGCAGCTCGAGAGCAGGCTTGCAGTTCACTTCCTTTCTGCTGCTGCTTATGCTGCTGCTGCTGCTGCTGCTGCTGCTGCTGCTGCTGCTTGGCTGCTCCAGTGCATTTGCTTCTTCTCCCCCAGCAGCAACAGCAGCAGCAACTGTTTGCTGCTGCTGCTGTTTCTCTTGTATGCTTTTGTCTCTATCCATTTGTTCCTTCTGCTGTTGTTGCTGCTGC